ATTCTGACAGGGTGTGAGGTGCTATCTCAGTGTAGTTTTGATGTGCACTTCCCTGATGATTAGCAATGTTGAGCATCTTTTCATGTGCCCATTGGCCATCTGCATTTCCTCTTTGGAAAAATGTCTACTTAGTTCTTCAGCTCATTTCTTAATTGGGTTGTGTGATTTTTTGATGTTGAGTTGTATGAGCTGTTTATATATGTTGGATATTAACCCCTTATCAGTTATATCATTTGCAAATATCTTCTCCCATTCAAGTAGGTTGTCTTGTTTTGTCAGTGGTTTCCTTTGTCATGCAAAAGCTTTTAAATTTAATTAGGTCCCATTTTTTTATTTTTGTTTTTATTTTCTTTGCTTTATGAGACAGATCCAAAAAAAATACTGCTACAATTTATGGCAAATAGTGATCTGCCTATGTTTTCTTCAAAGAGTTTTATGGTTTGGGGTCTTACATTCAGATCTTTAACCTGTTTTGAGTTTATTTTTGTTTATGATGTTAGAGAATGTTCTAATTTCATTTTTTATATGTAGCTGTCCAGTTTTTGAAGCACCACTTATCACACAGACTGTCTTTTCTCCATTGTATACTCTTGCCTCCTTTATTGTAGATTAATTGATCGTGAGTGTATGGGCTTCTTTCTGGGCTGGGTCCTTCTAGTTTGTTGCTGTGTATCCAGGAACCAGAATAATGCCTGGCACACAGTAAGGACTTAATAAATGATGACTGAATAAGTAAGCGGACAATGTATCCTTCAGTCCTCTACATTGAAGCCAATCAACACAGCAACAGGAAAGAAATGAAAACCCCCAAAGATGTTTGTAGGGAAGGCTGTTCTTGACACCTCACAGGTTCATGTCTGATGAGGGAGCAGACGTGAACTTGGATGAGCTGTCCTGCAACAGGTGATCTGTTCTGGAATCCTCAGCCCATCCCATAGTCTCCACCCTTGAACTGACACCTCTGATCTCCTTCAGGGGGCTTCAGGGAAAGTCACGTGATATCACCACAAATATCACCATTTCTATAGCCTTGATGAAAACAGTTCTGAGAATTCATTGACTGGGATTTTAAGGTTTTAAGAAAGGAAAGCTTCTTAGAGAAGTCTGAATGTTAGCTGGGCCTCAAAATGTGGCCAAGAAAATGACCTCACTTAACGTAGATCAGTCTTTCTCAACTGTTTTTTTCATCATCATCCCTCCCACCCAAGGAGTCTTTTTAGACTTTTCCTAATCACCCCTTCTCATGAAATTTTAATGGCACCAGTATACTGTATGTCTATGCACCATGACACTTTAGAGGCCCACAAATCATTATAACATCTAAAATTTGTTCACCAACCCTCCTCCCCTCCAAGAACCAATTTTTGCCTCCTTGGGGTAAATATCACTCTGTAGAGAATGAATGTCATATGCGTTTCTCTTGTGTAAATAACGATGTTCCTCTGCTATCCTATTGTTGGTAGACAAATTTCTCCTTTAAGAAAGACCTTTTCCAGTGTGGGTTACTTAAGAAAATGTTTAGATCCTCTTGGGGGAAATAATTGAACCCCTCAAAAAATGAGCCTTGTGTTGGCAAGATATACTTCATCTCTCCTATGGTTTTGCTCTTTGGCTCTAGACGTTAAGGAGTCCAGATGTCTTAGCAGGGTGAGAGGTGGCCCCTGAATCATGGACATTGGGAAGGCCAGCTTTCTTAGCACAGACATTGCCCTGAGATTAGAAACAATCCTTGGTGAGGTAGATTACTTTTTCATGTTACTCTGTGTTTATACACATTTGCTACGTCTGTGAATTCACCAGTCAGCAGGAGTAGGAAAGAGAGGTAAGGAAGTAAGATGGAAGAGAGGACACGCCATAGCACATTCAGTAGGACCAAGGAGGACCATGGACACCTTTTCCTGAAGATACAAAGACAGCTTCATAAAAGAGATGAAAACCAAACACGGCCTATGTCTTAGTTTTGCTCATAGCCTTGACCTAAACTGAATGAAACTGGCCTGCCTCCTTCCTCTCTTCACTCATTCTTTCAACAAATATTTGAGTGTCACATATTTGTGAATACTATAAAAATGCAAAGGTCAAGATCGATCGACTTTTTCCCCCAAAGAGCCTACATACAGCCCACTGGGAAATCACACAAGTGATTCAATTAGTGGAGTGACTGAGACATTCCCCAGGGTATTTGTTCCAGGCTCCACCTTGTGACCCACTGAGGATATTCACCGTTTGCTGTTCTTCAAGGACAAACTCACCCTTCAGGAACGTAATCTCACTTGCACTTCCAAATTCACTGTTTTCATAATCAAGTGGCATAATGTCAAGCTGCTCCTTAAATTAAGGTCTCTTCTCTCATTTCCCTCTCCCCACAAAATCAGTGATCACAATCAGAGAAATAATTACTTTTGTTCAGCAAGATCTGCTGTTAATTAACCTATGTTTGTTCCTCATTGAAAACACCTCTACCAAGAAGACATCGAATGAGTCCTTTCTGCTCTGGTACCTGGAAGAATAGACAGGCAACAGCCAATGGCCTGATGGCCCCACAGCTGCTTCATTCTCAAGACCTTAAACCTCAAGGGAATCATGTCTGCACGTGGGATCCCAGGAACCAGGGCTTGCTCCAGACAGCTTCTGAGCACACGGCAATGTCCATGTCCAACTGCGGGAGGTTGGCCTTGAAAGATGGAAGGGCTTCTGTGGGAAGGACTGAGGCTTTTCTCCTGGCTCATTCTTAAAGGGATTATGTCAGCTTCCTAAGGTGTTGTACTGACGTTCTTCTGATTTGTTGACCTTTTCACATCATTAGGACCAACCTGCGTCAGTAGATCTCCCTGGCCACCAGCCAGCTCTCACAGCCACTGTGCAGCAGTCTGCTGAATCTGCTTATTCTGTTTAGAAGGTGCAGAGGCCAATATGGAGGCCAGCCTGTTGAATGATTCCTTTTGAAATCCAATTCTGAAAGTGCATTTCTCATCCTACATTGAGCTTACCTCCTGAGCGTGGCTACAGTCAGTTGCTCCTGCCAGCAGGAGACCAGAGTCCTAACAACTTATGCTGGAGCTCTCACTTCTTAGCCCCCTTTAAATGGCCATCACCACATCACAGTCCTCTCTTGAGGAATTCTTTCAAAAATCCTTATCTTATCAGTGGCAGAGCAGAAGCCTGTAACATAGGGAGACTTTGGGCTGCAAGCATGTTTCAACAGTATGGTTCTCAAGTTTGAGATCCCTGTGTTTTCATCTTCTAGGCCACCATGGGGGGAGATTACCTTGAAGACTAACCATGAACTATCCTGTATCTTCAGCTGATCTAACAGTTTATCAAGCTGGCCTCCAATCTTGAAGAGCAAATTCATCTCCCAGCATGAAGCAAAGATTTCTTTTGAATATTATGAATTCTTACCTTGGGCTTCCCAGTGAGCTGCTACGTTTCAGAAGAGCTTGAGAACTTTGAGGCTGCTCCACGCCTTCAAAGCCCTTCTGATGCTTTTCTCCGCTGCAATAACAAGTAGGCCACCCCTGTGGTAGAGAAAACGACTAATTAAAAAAATACCTTGCATTGGTCTTTTAGGAAAGTTCCAGAATTCCACCAGACCCTCAAATTGCATCAGTTCAAACAAAAAAATAAATGTATCACTCCATAAACAAATCACGTCACAAAAACATGATACAGATTGACTGCTTTTCTCTGATAAATTTCCCCATCGTCTTCTATTTCCCAAAAATGAGCAAAAAGCCTCCATTGCGTTCCTTCCCTTGCTTCATGTAATTTGAGCTCAAACTTAAATGCAGTGGTTTCTTTAAAAACTGTTGCAGCCAGAGACTTTGATAGCCAGTTTCTAGCTACAAACTCAAGCTTATCTATGAATGTAAGTTTTAAAATAATATTGAAATAGAACTTTAAAACTGAGATTCTAATTTTTTTAAGAAAGACTTATAAGTAAGGAAATAAAAAAGGAAATAAAGTTTGGTATATGAAGGTGAGTAGGCTGTTTCATAAAAGTCATGCCTCTGAAACGTGTCTGTAAGGAGTTGAACCTGCTGATGTCTTTTGAAATTTGCTAAGAATAAATTTGAAATCACATTTCCATGGAAGTAATTGCCTATCCTCTGGAGCAATGATTCCTAACTTTTTCAAAGATCCTTTTTAAGTACCAAGAAATTTAGTGAGAACTCTCATGTGGTTGGAAAAATGTAGAACATGTGCAGAGAGAGGCTCACTGGTCTTTTCATTAATTCCGCAGCCCCTCAGGAGTCTGGCTCCCACCTGCTGGCTTCCACAGATCCTGCGTTGGGAGAGCCATAAAATTATCCAGAAATGACGGCCCCTGTGCAAACATCCTAGAACACGCTCACGGCTCGCATTAAACCTTCAGAGATTACTGTGTCTACACGGGGTTTGCCAATGCAGAAAACAAACATAGGTCAGAAACACATAATGTTTGTCAGAGAACAAATAGCTTCCATTTTTTTCTTTCAGTCTTAATACATGGTCTACTATTGATGTTTTATACCCTCTCAATTTACCTTTCTGGTACTCACTAATTAAATCGAAAAACTATTCACCTTCTTCTCAAGAATAGGGTTGAATTGTGAGAACAAAGAGAATTCATGAAAGGCCTTTCTATATGCAAATGATAAATGTGATAACTTATCATTCCCAGCATCGGGATGATTATCCACATAAATCTTCACTGTCCCATTGAGAGCTGCATTAAATCATCCCACTGGTCCATTGCATTGTGGGTGATAAGCCAGCATTTTCACATGTTTAACCCTATTGCACTTGCATAGGAAACACACCCTAGGCTTTCCGTAAGAACCTCTGAAAGCAATCCAGGCCAAAAATGACCTATGCCAACCCTCGCCTCCTTCGTGGGCATAAGAATTCAATGTCATGCTGCCTCTCAATCCTTTATGTCACAGAAGTTGCCTCTAGAGTAAACGTTTTGCCCTTTGGAGAGGGATATTCTAATTTCCACACTCTCTAGACCTTCCCACTGACAGATCAGGAAAGCTGTGGCTCTTGTTTAGAAATTCCTCTTTCCTAATCCCGAGCAGGCCTTCCAACCTACGTATCATTACGCATCTGCCTTTGGGTCATAGAACCACAGACATTATTGGGGTGGCATGAATTCAGGGGATCTATAAACTTGGATGGGAAAAAATTAACATCTTTATTTTCACTAACCTCTAACTGAAATTTAGCACTTCCTTCAAATGGGAATGCAGGCAGCCAACCACGGTCCTCTCGGAGACTTTATCACCAAGAGAAATCACCAGTATTTTCACATCACATTAAGGTTGTGCAGGTATCTGAAAATATTTACTCTCATCACTATTTCAAAATTTAGGTAGCTGTTAGACCTGCCATGGGAGCTTGAGCTGGCTATTTAATACAGTAATAAAGAAGCCCATATATTACTGAATCACCAACTTTATATATACACATACATGTATATCAGCTATATATCATACATGTATAATTATATATGGTAATTATATTTTAACCCAATTGGTTTTCTTTATAATTCTATGTATTTTATTTTGTGTATTTAAAAACATTATTTGCAGAAAGGTTGCATGGACCTCATCAGATGGCCAAAGGGGTCCAAGGGACAAAGAAAGTTAAGGATTCTTGCCTTGAAAGTGTATGTCTTTGAATCATCACTGCTGCCACCACCTCCTTGGAAACCCTGCACTTGGCTCCTTTGTTCTCAGTACCCCAGTTCAGGGAGCCCTGGTTTACAGCCTGTGAACCCCAGGCTTGCTTGTGTGAGGCCAGTTCTGTTTGGCAAGAGACATTCTGGGCAGAACACCTGTCCAGGTGGGAGGACCTTATTGTCACCCTTCATGGCTTCTTCTCCAACCTGTTACCCCTAGGGGAAATGGCATGGACTTCAGAAAGTGCAAAAAGCCCCTCATTCATTCCAGTTTACTGTTGAGAGTTCCTTGGAGAACATTCCATCTGCCTCCTAATTCCACGGTCACGTCAGCAGATCAAAGAGCAAAATGACCTGACTCAAAATCCCACAGCTAGTTAATCGTCCTGACTCCCAGGAATTCTCCCTTCTATACACCACCCACGGACACATAACAATAACCAACCTTTATGTTGAGCCCCTTAAAGACCATGCGCTGTTTCATGTGCTTTTCATATGTTAATTTCTTTAATTATCACAATGACCTTAGTAGTAAGTTCAGTGATTCTCCTCACTTTACAGATGGGAAAACTGAGGCCAAGAATGGTTAAGGGACTTACTAGGTTACACAACTAGTAAATGATGGAACCAAGATCCGAATCAGACAAGCAGACTCCTCTTGGCCCTGTGACCATCCTGCCTCTCCAGTCAGCTGCCACCAGGCAGTGTGGATGCCGATGACAAAAATTCAAGCCAAACTGAGCAGAAGTAACCTCACAAAGCTCCAGTTTCCCCACCTTGTAAAATAGGGATAGAAAGATCTGCCTTGCAGAGCTGGTCTGAAAATTAAGCTAAACATATACATCAAGTGCTAAGCATGTCTACTACATAAGCTCCTGAAAAGGGTGGTTACTATCATTTTTGCAATTATTTTTATTAAGGTGGGCACACAAGATTGCAGAGATGAAGCAGATGGTGAAAAACCAAACCTTTGAGAGTAAAGGCGTGAGCGGAAAACCACAGCCAGGTGGACTAGAGGTCAGGCAATCCAACCCACATTGGCAGAAACCTATGAGACTCCTCCAAACTCATAAGGTTTAAAACTCTACCTATAATTAATTCATGTATTCCCTTAGTGAGAATTGCTATATGCAACTTCATTCATCTTCTTTCTTGCTCCACTACTCTCACCCCATTCACAAACCTTGCCAACCTACCCCTGAAATATCCGCTATGGTTCAAAACATGAGTCAAGCATGGAATTTAATTCCTTCTCAAAATTAGCAACCAGTAACAAAGAAAATCTATACATCAATGCTAGAAAATTGGTTGAAAATGACATTCAAATGCTATTCAAGGATTTTTCATGCAATACAATGAAGTGAGACCAGCCAGAGAACAGGATACTCTGGCCAGCAACTGCCAAATGAGGTGAAACCCACATGGGAGCAAGTGGTGACAAGGACAGGGAGCCCCGGCTAAGCCCCACCCGCAGCTCCTGGCTTGGAGCGCGTGGAAAATGAATGTTTGTTTTACCTACTTCACATTTTCTGTTGGGGGAACTATACTGACCTTCTGTGTCCCCCAGTGATAGGATCTGCCACACCCTAACCACGGAGCCGAGTATGTGAGCAAGCTAGGTCAAACAGGCTTTCCTTCCTGGGAACTCACCCTTGAAGGAGACACAGGACAGAGGGGAGTTGGAGTTGAATCATTGGATTGACAACCATACACTAGAGAGGTCATCTGGAAACTTTGGTTTCTAAGATCCCCAGAACTAGATGTCCTATCCTCCCGAGGCCCAATGGCTCCATCTTCCTTTGATTCTACAAGGTATTCCTGGTGTTTATCGCATCACTGTGCGTCATAGGATACACGTACACTACATACATTCTCCTACATGGGTCAAAATTTCATAATCCATGTTAGAGAATAAAACAGCAAGAAAAGGAGAATTTCTAAAAGAGATTTGTTTCAAGGCAGTGGGGTGGGACTCACTGCAGACTCAAATGAGGGGAAAGAATTATGGGCTAATTTTGCTAAGGAAAACAGAAACCATTAAAATTATTTAAGGGAACTGAAGAAATGCAAAATCAAACCAAGTAAGGAGGGAAGTCAGTGCCATCTCAGCGAGACTGAGGGCTTCACTCAACTCACAGTAATTCAGTAACTGGTAAGAGTTAACTTGAACCAGGAGGACACGGGGTGCAAGTTCATCCCATTTGAAGGGTGTGGTCTAGGAGTCCCGGTAGTTCCCCATGGATGATTATTAAAAGGCTCCATATGTCCACCTGAAGCACCAGAAGACTGGCGCATCCAGGGCATGGAACTCAGGCGAAATTCTCCCAGAGAGAAGTGACATCTTTCTGCTCAGGCTGTGAACCCCATACATCTGGAATGGCGTATTAGCTCAGGCTCTCATAACAAAACACCATGGACTGAATGACTTAAACAACAGATGTGTATTTCTCACAGTTCTGGAGGATGGAAATCCAAGATCAAGGCACCCACATGGTCAGGTACTGGTGAAGACCCTCTTTCTGGCTTGCAGATGATGCCTTTGTCTTCACATAGATGAGAGAGGAAAGAAGGAGAGAGATAGCTCTCTGTATCTCTTCTTTAAAGGACACTAATTCCATCTTGAGGGCTCCACACTCATGACCTCATCTAAAACCAATTATCTCCTAAAGGCCTCACCTCCTAATGTCATCACATTGAGTATGAGAGCTTCAAAATATGAATTTGGGGGATGGGGACACAATTCAGTCCATAACAAACTGTAAAACTGGTTTTTTGGTGAGTATCTCATTTACTCTTGGAAGGTGTTAAGATGTATATAATCTATCTTGAAATAGTGCAATGCAATGTGTCAGTTTAAGTGACCCCTTAGTAACAGTTGGTGGCCTTATGGAGAACCCCAGCCTGAGGTCAGCATTCTACCAACAAGCCCACTGTGCACCAAGAAGGCTACAGCAAAAGACCCAAATCTCCATCAACACCCAAGATTTTTCTCATTAACACAGAAAGAGTCTGAAGGGGATTTTGTTAGTAAAATTAGTGGTACACAAGTTAATGTGATTAAGTAAAATATGTTAGTAACAATCCCCACACTTCATGAACAGGATAGAGGAAGCCAGTAAATGATGTCACCAACTT